GAAATCTTGGTCTTCAATGTAGCTAACTGAAACGAGAAAACAAGTCCTGAATTGCCATCATGTTCTCCCAGAGCTTTCTTGAGCTTCCATGGTGTGCTACTTTAAAGCTATATATTAGCTAATATTTTTAAGGAGTAAGTACACAAAGAAAGTTCAAGAAAGCTGTGGAAAAGCATGACCAGAACTTTTAAAGGGAAAAAAAAAACCATCAACCATCCCACTTAAATTTCTTGACCTCAGATCTCCAAAAAAAGAAAAAAAAAACTCGCAAATTATCAGGAAAGCCTTTTTTCCTGACTAAAAACAGTAGTAGTGATGAAGAAGAAGAATAAGCATGGCCAAATGCAAAATTTCATGGACCAGTGCTGTACCAACATATAATCTATGTACCAGCCTTACGGAGAAAGAAAAGGGGGGAACATAAGCCTGGGGAGGAGGGGAAGAAAGGAAGAGGGGTAGGGTTTGTTTTCACTCACAATCACAAAGCAGCAATTTACTCACCAAAAAAGACCTGCTTTACTGGTGAGTGCTCAGTGGGGTACAAAATACAGCCAGAATATTAAATTAGATACGTCAAGGCAAGCAAGTTAAACTGAAACCTGGCTAGGCCAACATTGAAAAACTTATGGACAAAAAAGAGTAATCAAACATGATGAAAAATTAAAAGAGACCCAGAACCAGAATTAAAGGAATAAAAATAAAAAAAAAGAAGGGAAAATCCATATACCAAAGAAAAAATCCCATCCCTATCACATGCAGCCATGTGATTTCATCTCTTTATTTAAAAAAAAATTTATTGGAAACTAAAGGTATGGGTTGTTTATGGTCCCCAATCTTTATTTTCTTTTCCTTTTTACCCCAAACCTGCATATAATATATAGGTTATCATCAATCATGATGCTGCAAAATGTTTCTGCCGTAGTTTTTTATGTTGAGATCGTTCAAGAAAATAAGTGAAAATTTTTTATTATTATATAGTTTTTGGTTATGCAAATAGGTGCAAGAAAATTTTATTTCAGGATGAAATTAATGAAGGAAAAAGTTGGAAATGAGAGTAAAAGGCAAGGGTGATTTTTATTTTTTATTTTTATCTGTACCATTTACATTTACTTGTGTGTTCCTAAAATTTTTAAAATTTGCTGCAATGATGTGACTCCCTTGGACAAACTTTGATATTGATGGGATAGCATGAAAGATTATCACCCAAAAACTGTCCAAATCTTTTTTCCATTTTTGTAAGTTAATGAATTTGGATGGAATTCAAGAACTCATGAAATTAATAATGAAATTTAATATTATTATTTATTATAATATGATCAAGGATGTTGTCAAATTTTGTTTAAATTTATATATATTTTTAAAATTTTTAATCATTAAATCAAGAAATTAAAAATTATTTTCAATTTTTATTTAATAATTAAAATTTTTAAAAACTAAAACATAAAAGTTTAAAGCTCGAAACCATTATCTTTATCTTTTATTTCCTATCTAATAAACAAAAAAAAGTTTAAATTTAATTTCTTTTTTTCAGCGATATTCGATCACGTGAGTTTACAGTGAAATGTACTGCTTAATAGAGCAACACCAATTGTAATTCCTGGCTGTGGCAGCGCAGCGTTGCATGCTATCTGTCGGCGCAATGCTATACCTTTGGTCTTTCTCGCCGATTACTCCAAAAGCAAAAAAATCAGACCACAAAATGCTGATTTTCGCCATCATCCTTTCACTCACAAATTTCATCTGTTTCAAATCATTAAAACTTACTAGTCTCTTCATATATATTTTAGCCCGAGCTGATAAGAAATGTCTAATGTATTATTTTTATATTTATATATTATAAAATTATGATTATATATATGATAAAAAATTAATATATAATATTATTGTATAAATATCAAATAATATATTGATGTAAAAAATACAAGAAAAAGCCGTATTTGAAATTATCATTCATCTTTCACCAAAACCTTGATAAGATTTTTTATAAGAAATCTGACTTTAGGAAAATTGATGTTCATATGTTCTTGCGGTAGTCGAAAAATATCACAAAAAAAGAACGAATAAAGATAAAATTAGATCGATTTTTTCAATACATCTTCGAGAATCTTTAGAATTGAACTTCTATGTTGGCTAATTCCAATTCCATGTTTAAGTAACACATTCAAAATCTAATTATTACTACTATGATTGGGATTTTTTTCAAGAAAAAAAAAGAGAGTAATTTTAATTTGAGAGATAACGGCCAAATTAGAAATGGGACCGTAATAAAGGGCGGGCATGAGGCATGTGGAATAAAGGCGAACGTTGAAACGGGACGGAGCTTTGACAGAGATAGCAAAGCTTGTCTTCATCCGTTTTGTGGGAGACTGTCCTGCCATTTAACAGCCTGTTCATTTCTTACAAAAACAATGTGCCTCTCTTCTTCCCCTCTTGCAATGAATTTATGATCCATCACATGCATCCAGCTCTTTTCTGATTTTCTTTTCCTCCTAAATTCCATGAAGATATCTTTATCATTGATTTTACACTTTGTTGTTGTATACTAAAAGAATTTATCACTTGTTTTGGTTCTATCAAGAAAAATTGCAATTTTTTTTTGTTTGCTCCTACACAAATGGATCACCACATACAATTTTGTCGATTATTTTAAATTTTTTTATGATTGGATTAGTCGAAAATTCAAAAAAAATTTCCGTTGATTTATTTGTGCCTATAATGTGGAAAATAAGGTATTTTTTAAAGTCAGTAGTAATGTTCATAATGATGGCCCTAATGCTTGCAAGCCTATGCAAAATTCAAAAACATACCATACATTATTGACAACTTTGTCACCTATGAAAGAAAAAAAAATCAATCATTTTTGTTTGATCTAAAGTGAAATAATGTTTTTTTTCTTTATGATAAGAAAATTTCGAGGTAGATAAGTTCTCAGTCCTTCAGATCAGAGTAAGATGTATCATACCTGACAATCTAAGATAGGTAGATGTAAGTCGTGCATTCGAGATGACTTCAACAAATGATTACTTGTAAGACTCGAATCTAAAACTTTTTCATCGAAGATGATGAACCTAACCGATTGAACCAACCACTTGTCAGTGAAATAATGTTCATATCTATAAACAATTGATGAAATGTGTCACATGTTTAATAGTATTATTTTTGTCTATTTTAGTTGAATTATTTTTAAAAATTATTAATTAATTAAATAAATTATAAATATAATAAAATATATTCACTTCCATAATATCATCGGGAAATGTTCCATTATCAAAAACAAAATAAATTTTATTTCTTCTATCATTTCACAAACCCAAACTTTAAATAATAAAGACAAAATTAAAGCAAAACAAAGTGGTCCCAAATTATAGGGTGGTTCGCCTTTGACGTTTTATTTTGAGAAATTTTTACTTGTTTTAATGGTTAATGTTAGGATAAAGGGTATAAAAAGTTTTGAATTATAATTAAATTTTTTATTTATATTTATATTTTTTATTATAATCAATTAATATTTTTAATATTTATTTGGTTAAACTTTTATTTGAATAAAAAAATTAATATCGTTAATTATTTTTCAACTAAAATAAAATGTTATGTAATAAAAATAAAATAGATGAAAGTTTTATCATCACTTTATGTAATTAACATACGTGAAAATTAAGTTAAATAAATTTTTTTATTTATTATCTCTTTCACTTTTTCTTTAAAACTTTTTTAAAAATTCAATTGATTATAATTCGAAGATTACTTGATTCAATTTTTTCACTTGACTAGATTTATCCAATTAATGAGTCAATTGAATGAAATATAAAATTAAGGATTTAATTATTAAAGATTTAAGTGATTATTAAATTATGATTAAAGGTATTTTTGACCCTTTAATCTTAATGTTATTAATATGGTCTATGAGAATTGATTAAGTTTGTAAGAATTAAATATTTCATTTATAAAATCTAAGTGTGATTTTTGCTGTTAAAAGTCTCATATGTAAATCCAAAAAAAAAAAAATGTTGCTAATATCTCCAAAATTATTCACAATTGAAGCTTTGCATCAAACTTTGACGTGGAAGTCTTTGGTGATTTCCACCTTGAGAGGGAAAGCAATTTATTAAGAGACTTTGGCTTTTTCAAAAAGAAAAATATACAAGGGAAAATTTTCGTGATCCACCCACCTTGAGAAGGAAAGCATTTGACATGGAAGTTCTTTCTTAAAAATAATTTAATAAAAAAATAAAATTAATAAATTGATAAAATTTAATACGAGAGTCAATAATATATATAAATTATTAAAAATATTATTTACAATTTAATTTTGATTAGTACTTATTCAATTATCAAAACTTACAAACTTAATTTATATAAAAAAATATTTTAATTTATCTATTTTAATTTTAAATTTAATTTTTATATGATATTTTTAATAAAAAATTTTATAAATCTTTTACTGTCACTTAGCTCAAATTTAAAATAAAAAATTAATATATTGCTCAAGAAATTTGAGTTTGAGCAAATACGATTACATGTAATAATAGTCCGAATCAAATAAGACTTGATTTAATTTTTTAGATATTATATAATTTATAAAATTTAAAATTTGATCTGAATTCGATTGTTTCTTCATTTGATTCAATTTTAATCCAAATTAAATCAAAATTTACCTATTTAATTTATCAATTTTTAAAATTTAATTTTTTATTTATTATATATTAATTTAATATAAAATTATTATTTTTATTTTATAAAAATTTAAAAAATATATAAAAATTAATATATATAATATATAATTCAATTTGATTAGAGTTTTTTTTTTTTTTTTGAGTTTTTATCTCCCAATCCAAAATTTGATCTATACTAAATTGAACGATTTTAAATCGATTTTTAATTTTTTAATATTTTTTAATCCGAAAATTCAACGTTGACAAGGGTCTTCCAATAATTCATTCAAAGTAATGGATTTCTTTAAATAACTTTGTCACATCCTTGAATAAAGTTCACGCGTTTTGTGGGATCAAAAGTGCAACAACTCCGCGTTTTCTCAATTCTCAAATCCGCGTATTCTCAAATATTGTCCAAAAGAAAAGAGGGTTCTTGTTCTTAAGCTCAACAAAAAATCAGATAAAATGAAAATTACTCTTTTTTCATCTTTGTAGCAGCTGTTTTATCTTCTTATTCATCTTGGTTCTGTTTTATTGACAAGAAATATGGTGACATCCATACTTTTACTAGCAGTTCTTTTTACAGCTGGTTTTATTAATTTTTACTTCTATTTTTCTCCCTGGAAGTTTTATGCATGGCTTCAATCTTTCTTCCTTAACAGCTCTTCATCATCACCTGTGTCCTCTAAGACTGTTACACAGGTGATTTCAGTGAAGGAAAGGAGTGATTCAAAAAAGGTAGAGCAGAAAAGGGTTTTTGCCACCTTTGACAAGAATGGTGATGGGTTCATAACAAAGCAAGAACTGAGGGAATCACTAAAGAATATCAGGATGTTCCTTACAGAGAAAGAGGTTGAAGAAATGGTACTGAAAGTGGATGCAAATGGAGATGGCTTGATCGATTTCGATGAGTTTTGCACCTTGTGTCAGGCCATGGATGGTCATCATGAGGAAGGTGTGAGAAGAGGAGAAGATGGAAATGGAATTGTTGAAGAAGGTGTCGTAGAAGGGGAATTGAAGGAAGCTTTCGACGTGTTTGACAAAGACAAAGATGGGTTGATTTCAGTTGAGGAATTGGGTTCTGTGTTGTGTTCTTTGGGGTTGCAGGAAGGGAACAAGATGGAAGACTGCAAAGCAATGATCAGGAAAGTTGACATGGATGGAGATGGAATGGTTAATTTCGACGAATTCAAGAGGATGATGAAAAGTGGAGGAGGACTAGTTTCAGTATCAGCCTTCTGATCTCACCAATCTTAAAGCTTAAAGCTTAAAGTAAGGCTTTTCATCTCTCTTTCTCCAGCCCAAACTCACAATTTATGTACAGACAACACTTATCGTGATCTCCTTTCAAATCTACAGGCGTTTGTCTGTGTTGGTTTTGTTACTTTTAACCCTTTTGAACTGGTTTATGACACATTAGCACAACCATTAAAAGCTTTCACCACAACAACCCTGCCACTACCAACTTGCAACTACCATCTTATATTCGTGACAGTACTTTTAACAACGTTTGTACACTAGTTCAGGTTTTAGGTCTGTCTGAATTTGAATGTACTGTACATATTTTTTAACTTTGTTGTGCACCTGTCGAAATCTATATTTGTAATCGCCACCAAACGTGTGCGGTGTGAAGGGTGTAAATTGTAAATGTATTCTTGTAAATGTATTCCAGATGTGTTATCTTCAATAGGATGTATTGCCAACATGAAAAATTCACCAAAGCGTTGAGGTCTGAACATAATCATGTCTCGGTTCAGTTGCATCAGAGAAAATTGAGATCAATGAGAATATCAAGGGCAAAGGCTGGGGCGAAGAAAGAAATTGTTCATGATGACAGCAAAGCAGCATGAATTGTTCACTGAAGCATCTGATGGCACGACAGAAGCAAAGCTTCTTCTCTTCTTCCCTTCTTGTTAACGGCAGTAAGAAACTCACTCTCCAAGTAATTGCATAAAGGCAACATTTTTGTGGCTTGATAGCATGACCATGACGATAAAATGCAGACTTCTGAGTTATGTCTTCTTCTACAGCATATGTGTGGATACAAATAAAAACTTCAAGTCTGGATATAAAGCCTAAAAACATTTTTTATTATCAAATATCCACTTCAAGCATGAACATGGTTGCATTTGGTTAAAAATTCAAGAGCATGTCTTTTAACTGCAGCCTACCCTTCTGTAAAAAGAGAAAAAAAAAATAAATGCAAGTGGCAGCACATTAATTGAAGAAGATGAAAAACTCTAAGTGGCTAAAGATCGATAGCAAAACTTTTACTAGGATTCAAAAACAGGTTGTACACAATCATCTGCAAAGCCATATCCAAGAATTACTAGAAAACATCAGGGTTGAAACGGCCTGGGATGGAGCTACTTTGCTGTGCTTGCTTCAAGTGCATTGTCAATGCATAGTTGTTTACCTGTTGGGGCATTAGATGATCAAACAATTTTCATCAGATTCTGGAAAATCTAAAATATTACGCTTGATCATGTAGCAATAAAAAATAAGATGGATGGATACATAGATTACATATGCATATGCACGGTTTGTGCATGTGTTCCAGTGTGCATTAAAAGTTAGTTCATGAGGCCAACCTCAAGGGTTCTCAACTGCTCCTGATACTGAGACACTAGTTGCTTCAGTTGCCGCAACTCTTGACTCTGATTTTCATACTCTTTCTGACGCTCATGTTGAACAGAAACAGCTCGCTTGAGAATGGCATTTTCCTGAATAAGTGTTTCCAATCGTTCTTTCAGCATCATATTTTCCTATAACAACCCAAGTAGTAAGTTCAACATCCTCAGAACAACCCTTTCCTCATTTTCCCCTCTGAAACCCAAGAAAAAGTGTGGATGTGGTGTGCAGCAGGGAATGGAGAGTAGATAACCATTAGCAACTGTAACAACCATGACAACCAACCTGGTGAAAATTTTGGGCCAGCTCTTCTCCAGCTCGTGCACGAATGGACTTCTCCAAAGCCTCCAGTGCTCTTGAGGCACGAGCTCTGGCATCATCAATGTTAGAAGCATTCAACATTTCTCTAACAAAAAGCTCCACCCAATCTGGACCATCCATCAAGAAGAATTCTGGAGCTGTCTGCTCCTTAGTCGGAACATCTCCATTAGCTGCTATACCTAAAACAGAACAATGCTATTCTCACTAAGTAATTAGTGATTCCAACTGACTAAAAGGTAATTCAGTAAAACATATGTAAGTCATAATTCTAGTTTTAATTGCATCTCATCCATGGAAAATGTTGGCCTGTTGGGCTAGCCAAATAACACAAAAGGTGCAAGCAAGAACATAAACAGTAACGTTAATAGCAATACTCACAGATCAAATTGCTAAGAAAGCTTTACATATTGCATGGTATATTTGTGTCAGCTTCAGGTTTCCACAATTTTTTTTTTTATTATTTTTATTTTTAGAAAACAAAAAGGGGCATGGGAGGGACATTCACTGATAAGTGATAACCAACTCCAACCTTTGTAGGTGAATTACACATTACACATTACCCTTTCTCAGAAGCACTCTTATCGTCATGGACACCACCAAAAGCAAACCATTCATTTAAAACATGTTACATTAAATCAAAGAACAAAATTTCGGGTTATCATATTTCCATGTTGTCTTCTGAACAATTCCCTAAGACAAAGCTAAACCTTCTTTGCTTCAAAGTCCAAACAAAGTTAAGATCTTGGTCAAACCAAATGATGCATGATCTGTCAGGGATATCATCAATCTCGAGTGATCAACATTGAATAAAAAGGATTTTCTTTTCATACCTTGCGCTTGAAGTTGAACATTTTCCTCTAATTCTACACCAGTTTTATCATCATCAGCATCAGCAGCAGCAGCAGCATCAGCAGCAGCTGCTGCAGCAGATCCTAAACGAAGCTCATTCAAACTTCTAATAGCTGAATCCAAATCATCTCCACATTCTTCAAGTGCTCTCTCAAGAACCTAAAATCATATTATTTCATCAAATTATTACGACCGATACAACTTTTCCTGTATTAAATAATAATAATTTTCAAATTCATTTCATCTCCCAGAAATTAAAAATAACATTTTTATTAAAAAAAAGAAGGAAATCGTACCTGCTTGTCCATTTCAGGGAAAATAACAGTCAGTTGATCGATCAAAAACAAGGAGGGAGGCGAAGAAGAAGAAGAAGCAAAACGAGAAGAGCAACGGATTCTCTTAGAAACGGGAGATGTCGCACTCAATTCCTCAAAGAAAGATCTCTTTCCTGAAACTATGGCAGACATGTTTCAGCCAAATTGCCTGCTCTTTTGTCCTTGTTTTTTTCCCCAATCTCTCCCTCTCTTTTAAATTATATCGAAAATCAATCACATAAACTCCGATCCTATCGATCTCGATTTATCTCAAGAAAAAAGAAAGTAAAAGAATTTTAGAAAATTAGGATTTGATTTGTCGCATTTGAGGAATTGAATAATTTGATTTTTTTAAAAATTTTCGTTGTTGTTGGTGGCCATGGCTGGAGGAGGAAGCAGGCAGCGGCCAGGAGAAATAAAAAAAATGGATGTGGGAGAACCCACCACTCCGAATTACACACGTCAAGCATAAGGTATTGAACGGGACACGTGGTTTACTTCGATTGGAGTTCGACATCGTTACAGGAGATTTTGACAGTCTAGGTCCAGAAACAAACACAAGCCATTTTCAATCTGAACTTCAATGGCCCAGCCTTAGGCTACTCCAGGCCTTACCCAGAAAGGAGAAAACTAAGGCGGTAGATATAGAAATCTGCTTGATGATTTTATTTAATTTATTTAAAATATAAAAGATTTAATATATTTTATTATTTAATTAATAAAAAATTAATCGGACTGAATTAATTTTAATTAATTAATTTTTAAATTTAAAATTTTAATTCAATTAATAAAAATAATATAATATAATTCAATTAACTTTATTTTAAATAATTTAATTTAAAATTAATTGATTCGATCGAATACCCTTTAATTATTTTCTTTATAATACATGTAATATGTTCTCCATCTCGATCAACAACTCTCTCACCAAAATTAAAAATTACATAAACAATTATACTTGATAAGCTCAGGCATGCATGTTTTTTCTTTGATATAAACAATGTCAGAAAAGCATGGAATGTTTGTTTGGTCATTTAGATTTCTGTCATTCTTTTTTTGTCCATTACTAGCTAGCATTCTGAAATTCAATTCAAGAAAGGAAAGACATTTTTTTTTAGCATCGATCTTTCATGATTTAAAGTCATGTATTACTAATTTGGTAGCAACTAAAATGGGAGCAAAGATACTTCTTAGGATGTACTTGATTGAGTTGGCAATGGAATTGGATTCCAGTTCACAATAAGTAATTAAGTTTCAAAGATTTGTGGAACCTGGTCAAGAATCATCTTCATATCAATCGATGGGATTTTGTTTTCTATTTTCTATCAATCTTCCCACCAATAAGATGGGATTGTACAAACCATCATGATGATGACACCTAACAACGAACCATGCTGCACAAGTGGTTCACCTCTGGTATTATTTATGAGGAAAAGAAATGGTTTCTTTTTTGTTTTTATGCCAAATGAATAGTTGCAACTTCAATCTGTAAGCTTAGATATTATGGTTTTGATCAAAATCCATCTTGCTTGCCCAATACGATGACCTTGAGTGGGCTACAACGGTCAGTCTTTCAAAAACTATTCTCAGCGTAGATGTGGTGGTGTAGTGGATCAATTCATTAAGTTTCATTTGAAATGGTGTGAAATTAAAAATAATAATTATTATTATTATAATTATAATTAAAAATTTTAATAAAAAATTTATGTTAAATAAATTTTATTTAAATAAATATTTAAATTTAATTGATAATAGGACAAGCTCAATCATCTCGTATTAAAAATATTAAAATCCAAACTTAGGTTTAACGGGGTCAATGGGTACCAACACAGTACATTTGGCAAGTTGCAAAATGCATTGTAGGGAAAAAAACAAAAGAAAAAAAAGAAAAGGGATCTCATCTCTCAGATTTGCTTTTCTTCACCCAAAGCATCGTGGACTTCCATTTTGTTTATATTGGCTGGTTGTTGATGAAATGACCCCTCACCAAGCTCTTCGTTCCCCAACTCTTCCCATCAAATCTCCCTTTTTATAAAGAAAAAGAAAAACTAAACTAAAACCCTTTCAATAGAACAAAGAAGCCCATCTATAATAAGAGACTTCATATGCATCTCATTTCCCTCTATAAATCTATACATACATATAGGAATATATCCATTTTGCCCTAATGAAAGAGAGAAACAAAGAGCCTAGGGTGGTGGGATTGCACTCAAATACCCTCTTGACTATCCTCCCATTAGCTTTGACCACACAATAATATTAAAGACCGAGAATTGTTTAATTAGTGGGAAAAAAAAAAACTTTTTTGACCCTTTGATTAGGAAACCTTTTTGGGTACAGTATCGTACTTATCGCAAACTCCATGTAGGCAAAATATTTTCTTTTTTATTTGTTTTGGAAGTTTTTAGGCAGCCAAAGCTTAAGGTGGCAAATCAATATTCCTCGAGTCAGTGATAAAGAATTTAATTTTTTTAAATAAAATTTTAATTTTAAATTTAAAAAAAATTATTTTTTATAAAATTCAATTCGATTTAATTTTTAATTAATCAAAATTTAAAATAATTATTGAACATCGAAAAATTAAAAAAAAAAAAATTTAAGGTGGCAAGGTGTTAGAATAAAAGAAAGAAAGAGACACAAATTTTAAGTGAAAATAATTTAATTTAATCACCCTTTGCTTCCATTTTTTAAAGCAAATCAGATAGGATAATTCTTTAATGAATTAGATTATTGATGAAAATAACCTTCTATACAATGTAAATATTTTAAGTGAAATATAATTACATATCTTATTGCCTAGGTTGGATGGTATAAATACAGCTAAGTAATGTATTTCTCCTATTGTTTTAATGTTCATGAAATTAATTATTAATTATTGCATTAATTTAAAAATATTTTATAGATAATAATGAAATTAGCATTAAAGAGTGTTCTTAAAACACTCATTAACAAAACTCATAGATATATATCTATTCTAATATATAAAAGAAAACTAGTGAGAGAAAACCTAAGAGATTTTATTAAGTTTAGTTTTGAACTTATGTTCTAAGATATAAAATATTTATTTTTTTATATTTAAAACTTTCCATTTAGAGATGATAACGAGTTGAGTTGGAATGAATTTTTTTATTTTAAACTCGACCTGATCTAATATTAAAATATTTTTTTATATTCGAACTTGATCCAACCTGCATATATTTAAGTTCACGATTAATTTGATTCAAATTGATAAATATTATTTTTTAAATATAAATAAATATATATAAATATAAAATAAATAAATAATATATATATTGAGTCTACATGAGCTAGGATTGCTTAAAACCTGACTTTGATCTCAAAATTTTTTTTTAAAAATACTTAACTTGACTTGATCTAAAATTTGATTTAAAAAAAAAATCGATCTTATAAGATTGGATCAAGTTAAAACTCAACAGTTACGAGTTAAATTACCAACTCTACTTTCATTCTTCTAATTTCAAGTTTTAAAGGGGTTTACAACAAAATTATTCATTTTCATTCCATTTTGCAATCACTAAATAATGACTTTAGATATAACTACAATGTGGGTATTATGCATTTGGGAATTGAATCATTGTAAGTGGTGAGTCTTAGTCGATAAGTGAAGAGAGAGATGTTTCTTTTCCAATTCAATCCTAATTAATAAAGCAAAAACAAAATAGTTGCTGACCTACTAGTCTATGTCATTTGTTTGGAAAATCTTGCATGTTTTGTATTTCAAGGTCAAATTATGATTGAAACTATCAAACAAAAATAATGGATTTATTTGGTTTACAAGAGAATAAATATGTATATAAAGATTACTAACCAAAGATCAACAAATATTTTTTACATTTTCCCAAGGTTTTCATAGGCTTTTATTTTTTTGTGAATTTTTTTTTAATTGCAATAACATTGTTGTTATCTATGCACCATTGTTTTGGTAAACTTGCGACATTAAAACAAAATTCCTTACAAAGGGAGAAAGGAGAAAGAGCGAGGGAGGCAATGGCCATTCCCCACAAGAAAAGGTGGTGGGAAAAAAGTTCTTTTTGCGCATTTTACTGCGACGTTGGTGAAGATGATGCTTGCAATCTCCAACAGCAGCAGCAGCAGCAGCAACAACATCAACAATACTTTCCCTTCTCTTTTCTCTCTCTTTCTCTCCTGCTTCATTCCTTTCCTCTCTGGACTTAACTCCCCCTTCTTATTCCTTTCCTTTCTCCCTATGGCCAATGATCTCTTCTTCTCCTTGTTATTTTCATGCAACTATAGAAACATCCCATGAAACATATACTTTATTTTTAAGTAACTAAACTAACACTTCTAATTGCTCTTCCATGGATGACAACCACCATGGTTGTTGGGCTGTCTTGAAACGCGGCGTTTGCAAGTCCTCTGCGTCTCGTGACTCTGATAACTCAATTCCTCGAACTGGTCTTGTTTATGATGCTGGTAATCTTCTTTGTTTCTTCTCTTTATTAATATATACGTGTCCCTTTCTCTTTAGCTTTTGCCTTTTCGTTTTGAAAATACTAATGGGTTTTTCTTTTGTTCCTGGCATTTATTTCTTTGCAGCTGATTTCTATATTTTTGACACTTATGTTTCTTCTGATTCTTGCAAAAAGATTAGTTTTTCCTGAGTCCTATGAGTTTAAAAATGGGATTTTTAAACAATCTCAGCTGGTTTATGTGGGAAGTGAATGTGAGAAATTTTTTAATCTGTTGGCAGCTAATATCATTTTCACTGGGTCATTAAATATCATGGCACTGTCTTTTTACAGGGAAGAAGGGGGATTGATTTATTCCACTTGATATCTGACAATTTTCCAAATTCCAACCAAGATGAATTTGGCTTGCATAATTCATTGTAATTCAGATCCTCACTGAAAGATTCTCTACTGACAAAAGAATTACTCTTTTCTTATTATTAAGCCTTAACCTGAAATAAAATGGAATTTATTTTGTTCCTTTAGCTATTATCGAATTATGATTTAAAAGAAGAAACGTTATTCTCAATCTCTGTATGCAGCTACTGAGACAAGATATCTAAATGCTAGTAATAGAGAGCTGTGCCCTCCGAATGAAGCTTACCTTTCATCTGAGAATCCTGATCCACCACCATCAGATAACAAATCTCCATGCCAGCTTCTCCGGTTTACTTTTCAGGAGCTAAAATCTGCAACAGGAAACTTTAGACCTGACAGCATTCTTGGGGAAGGTGGTTTTGGCTATGTCTTCAAGGGATGGATAGAGGAAAATGGGACATCACCAGCAAAACCAGGATCAGGGATCACAGTTGCTGTCAAGAGTTTGAAGCCAGATGGTCTTCAAGGCCATAGAGAATGGGTGGTTAGTAGAAAAATATGTGCCTTGGGTTTAGTAGATTTAATGTTGAAGAGACTATTGGTAAGTTACTGAAACTTGGGTGTGTGACATTGGATGATTCTTTTAATGCAGGCTGAGGTTGATTTCCTTGGACAGCTTCATCATTCTAATCTTGTTAAACTTATTGGTTACTGCATTGAAGATGACCAGCGGCTGCTTGTATATGAATTTATGACTCGAGGAAGTCTTGAAAACCATCTTTTCAGAAGTGAGTCTCACTGTTTTCTTTCCTTTTGTCATTTCAACTCAGTTTCAGTTTTTTTTTTAATCTCCAATTTGGTATTTTAAGTTAAGATCCTGTGTTGAAGTGGTCCTCAAGGACTGTTACTCTGTTAGTTTGCATTGTACCTTCTTACTAATAAGGCTCTCCCTTGTGGGAATTTCCATTCTAGCATATTTATATAAGTTCAAATGAAAGAAATACTGACGTTGCCTTGTTGGCTAATTTTGCAAAGGGACAACACCTCTTCCATGGTGCAATAGGATTAAGATTGCACTTGGGGCAGCCAAAGGATTGGCCTTTCTCCATGGTGGTCCAGAGCCAGTCATTTATAGAGATTTTAAAACATCCAACATTTTACTCGATTCGGTATGTAAGTTGATGAATTAGTTTAGGTAATTATACCAACCTTTTCAAGATATCCTTTGTTTTATGGAATCACTGATATGGAATTTCCTTTGCAGGAATATAATGCAAAGCTTTCAGATTTTGGTCTAGCAAAAGCTGGTCCTCAAGGAGACAAAACACATGTTTCTACTAGGGTTGTTGGAACCTATGGCTATGCTGCACCAGAGTATGTTATGACAGGTATTATAGTTGTGGAAGATGATCTGAACTAACTGAAAGCTTAAAGCTCTAGTGTTCTCTAAGGAAATTTGAACTCAACATTAAGAACCCCTTCGGGATAGTGGTGCAGTGCAAAGTCCACTGCTGTTAGGGGCTGCAGTGCGGTGGAAGCCCCTTTGGTCTGCATTGCACCAGTATCCCGAACATACTTTAAAACTAATCTAAATGTCTAGCAAGTAGGTATCTGGTTTAGTTTTGGACCATAAACCTTGCCGGTTGTTAAAATCAGGTCAGACATATCGTTCTCATTTCAATTATCATTAGCAGAGTTGGAAACCACATCCAGATGGTCATACTGCAACTAAGGCACTGCTGAAATCACCAAATTAACATTCTATAACGAAATTGACATTCTTTATCAGATTACTAAAAGACCTACCTGAGAATAAATAGAGTATGGAATCACCAAAAATTGTAGAGTAGGTAATGTACACTAAATATGTTACATATCTGCAACAACATTCCCTTAGGAAAGTTTAGAAGGAATTTCTGCAACTCATCGTACCTTTTATTGCTTTAACCAAAATTTTGTAACTAATGGATCTTGAGCTATCTGATTCCACTCTATCTGTTAGTTTGGAGAATGTTTCAATGATATGGAAGCATCTATCAAGCTTAATAGTTCATGCTGATTGCTGATCGATTGTTATAGTGTTATTTGCACTGAGAGTTCCTGATTTGCAAACTGTATTTTGATTGCTTCTGTGCCTGTTTGGTCCTCAAGTTTTCTGCACCATGCAAAAATCCGGAGAACTGATTATATGTACAACTTCGGATCTTTTTCGCAGGACACTTGACATCTAAGAGTGATGTCTACAGCTTTGGTGTTGTATTACTTGAGATTTTGACAGGCCGAAGATCAATGGACAAGAAGCGCCCTAGCAGGGAGCAGAATCTTGTTGCTTGGGCTAGACCATATTTAGGTGACAAGAGAAAAGTTTGCCAACTGGTGGATCCCCGCTTGGAGCTGAATTATTCTCTTAAAGGGGTGCAGAAAGTTTCTCAATTAGCTCACAACTGCCTCCATAGGGACCCGAAATCCCGTCCTACAATGGATGAAGTAGTGAAAGTTCTCACTCCTTTGCAAGATCTTAACGATCTTGCCATCTTATCCAATCACTCTCGTCTGTCTCAACAAGGGAGACGTAAGAAGAAACCAGAGGGATCTCAGCAACTCTCCAATGCTCAATCCAAAAGCATCAGAGATTCTCCCTTGAATACAGGCAAACAGGGGTGCAAATGATCCATAGTCAGTCCCTGTCATTATTGGCTCAAATGTCAAACCAAACAGAGGTTGGGATGCCACAGTCTTACCATCCATTGTGTGAAGACAATATTTCAGGCTTGTATAATTTTGGGGATTTGGAAATTTGCTAGAGGCAGAAGGATTGGAAGAGGTAAACAAATTTCCTTTTCTTTAAAACCTTACACGAGATCTAACCATGAATGCGGGATCAAACCTCCCATTTCGGATATTGGTATTTGCAGCCACCTGAATGTCAATTTCTTTGAGTTTTGCAGTATGTTCCCCGTTGACACTATGCTTTTCCTCAAATCTACATGTCCTGTCTTAGAATTAACAGTTTTTAAGTTGAGAGTTTCCTTCAATTTGATATCCTCATTGGATCCCGTTAAGATATGTACTAAAGCCGGTCTTACATGATTGGAATTTGGATTAAGTTATGCATTAAACTTAAGTCTAAACTCATAAAAGCCGCTGGCTACAAATGAATTGCACCTCCACAAGCTCAGCCTGATTCCCCTTAACAATATAGCATCTAACTATTTGATCCAAGATAAGCCACTGGCTTATTTGCAGCAAAACCAGCACATCACTTTCAAGCAATATATATATATATATATATATATATATATAAAGCATACTATTATTTTTAAACAGAACAAATAAAATCTGTGAACAATGTATGTTTCCATCAGCTGAGCTCTTCAAACTAGAATCTAAGATTCCCTGCTTTAAATTATTCTGAAAATCACTTCCAAAAAGAGGACAGTGCAATTGTACAGTTACAAATGCATATTCACATCATAGCACATTCAATCTGGAATCTTTGTGAGCTTTACTTATTCTGCAAATCATTTCCACAAAGACTGAATCACCAAATATTTTGTTATTTGAAAACATATAATATAGTTAAATCAACAAAATTTAAGCATACCCACATTTCCATTTCTCAAAGTTGCATCAGGATATTCCCCTCTGAAGTCTTCTTTGGGTACTCCTTCTTGCACTAATTTAATTTGATTCAGGATCATTTAGATTTACCTTTTTAATACTACTATAAGAGGACTCATACAAATCAAACGATGTTAAAATTTCTATCAGTTTTAATGTGAGAAAAAAGAAGAAAAAAAAACACTTGATTAAAGAAAACGAGGAAATTAAGTTGTGAACTACCCAACAGGCCAAGACGCACTGAAACGAGAATAAGACAAACCAAGTTAACCATCCCTTTTAGTGTCAAACACTCTGAGTTAAACCAAAAATTAGGAACAGGATATTAATTAAAAAATTATCCATGATTTGTTCTTCTGCTAAATCTACTTATATATATTATAGATTATTTCCGTTTAAATTCTTTTATGACTGTGTCATGTTCCTCAATGCTCAATGTTAGAAATTGGACTAAACAAGTCATTTACAAGAAGAAAATTGTTAAATGATTGCATATATAAGTAAGAAATTTGCTTCTGGTATATAAGAAATGATTTTCAGAACCAAATATCTGCAAATTAATGGATGACCCTGACAGACGGATCACGGCAAATGTTTTATATTTCATGAAATATAAAACTGATCCGACATTTCTACTCTTAACTTCATGGTAATCATATACAGGAGAATCAAAACTTAATTTTGCAACAAAGCTTATAAGGTTTAAAAACATAATACTCTCAGCTAAGTGTTAACTCAAATGGCATGAATATCGATAAACTTTTGGAAGGTATGAGTTTGAAAGAACTTAATGTCCTCTTCAGATAAATTAATTAAGCAGATAGGGATAGGGATAAAGGTAGATTAAGATTTTTTTTTAAAAAGTAATACCCTATTATATATTAAAAAAAAAAACATAATAACTGTACCATTCAACAATATCATCACCAAATACCAATATTCCATACTCAAGAAACACGAAATAAAGTGACCTCATCAATATACAGTTGAAACTGTAGCATCAAATTTTATCTAGTATTACTGTTATCTATATATATATATTCATGCAATGTAATAAACAGGTCAATTACTTTATTGGATATATAATGAAACAGTGAAATTATCTTTACTACAGTTACGAATTACTGTAATATACATATATATCTGTACTAATGTACTTCTAATTATATACAAGATGGTGCAATCTATGCTATATAGTAATTAAGTAACCTTTTTGCAGCAGTTATAATTGAATATTCGTCATTGAAAATAAGAAAAAAAGCTCTGCATTTGTAGTCATACCTGAGTCTCATCACTCCAAGATCAAGAAACCTGAAAACCAGTGATAAATAGTTCCTGCCGTAAGGATAGCCAAAGGTGAAGAAATCAATTTTATAAATACTTATCTAAACAACATGAGGGTGAGTTTGGAAAGCAAAATTAGAAGAGTTATGGAAAGTGATATTGGCGCGGCTCAATCTGAGATCGTATTTTACAACTGAATCCATGCGTGTAAATCCGTCTTCGGATTGAACCTCACCAACATCGCTTTCTTTTTTTTTTTTTTTTTTGCTTCCCAAGCAACCAGCTGCAAATTTCTCTCATGGGGTGAAAAAAAATAAAAAAGAAAAGGCAGAGAAAAAATAAAAAATAAAGCTCCTAAATGATCATCCATGAATGCAACGAGAAATACACCACGATGATAAAGAGCTGGTTTTGGAGCTTTTATATACTTGCATGCCTGGTATATCGAACTTATCAACCAAAAAGAAGGGAAAAAAAATACTTGAATAAAAGTCTTGGATATGGCCCCATGACAATAAAATTGATCTTTTCTCAGTGACCCTGGTAGGGCAAAAGATATGGCTGGCTAGCTTCATGGAGTAGAAGGTGGCCTGAGAAGGTGGTTTTGTTGGTGGTTGGGAATGATAATGACAAAAGTGGGATCTCAAAATCATGATTTTTATTCCTTGAATTGAGTCAAAATCAAGGCAATTTGATGCAAAACTATTAATGTGTCTAGCCAATGAAAATAATTATGAGGGAAAAAAAAAAGAATGGGATAATAGAAATTACATCAGAGGAAAAACCACCTAAACCAATTATCCAAAACCAAGACAAGGGAACTAGTAAAATGTGATGTTTTTGGGTGCACTAAGACATAACATGTAGCCATTTAGGAAAATGAGAAACAAAGCACATTCTTCTGTTTACAGTCCATGTCCGTAAACCTTAAAGTTTTCAGCAGAAAAAAAACAATAAAAAAACAAAGGCATGCATATTTTTCAAAAGGTTTTATTCAATTAGGATTCTGGAAAGAAAAAAAAAAGTGACAACATAAATATGGTACATGCGACGATAAGATTGTGATCAATATGTCAACAAAAGAAACAACTATATAACTTTATTTGATGCACGAGAGAAGAATTAAGAGAGTGATTGTGGGGGCGACAAGACACTATAGCTGAGGAAAAAGAGATTGAGATTGAGATTAGGGTTTGAGTTGAAGATGGAATTAGAATTTAGGGAATGTTATAACATGCCTGAGGTTTTGCCTCGGGATGAGGAGGTGAAGAAGATGAGGGGAATGATGTGAAGGGAGCAAAACTTACTTTTTAGGGTTTGCCATGCTTAGTTTGTAATCAATTAAAATCAAACTCCTTCTCTTGCGCATGCACTTGAAAATATTCTCCTTAAAAAAAAAACCCTTCCAAAAACAACTCCTTTAGACTGTACCTTCTACATTATTTTAACACCCCACCTTTCTGCATCATACTTGCATTGGCTTATATGTACAACCTATAACAGATATGGCCAAGGAGAGAATATGATAGTTGGCTTTTATGTACAACCTATAACAAATCTAAATATATAATGGCTAGTATATATTGAAAAAAAATATATATATATATATATAAATATGAGACTTAATTCAATTAATTTATATAATTATTTTTACAAAATTGTAGAATTGATGAAAAAAAAAAAGAGATTGTTACTAAAATTAAACTTGATAAATTAAAATATAAATTTAATATAAAAATAAAATATGAAAATGATATGATTTAAATTTTTAATAATTATTATAAAATTTAATAAAATTAAAATATATATTATATTTTGATATCTATATAAATTATAATATATATAATTACTATATAAATATATAAATTTTAATATTTTATACGTAAGATCAAACTAAAACATTAGGGAGAGGGATTGGATGCGGAATCTTGGAAACAGGAGCGCAGAATGTCAGCAAAGGGGATTGTCTAGAAAGAAGCTTCCAAAAGAAGAGGTACGTATAAAGTTTTTTTTTTTTTTTTTTAATTTCACGCAAAAAAGCACATAGCAGTTAGCGAATACGCGAGAGGCAAGATTTGCCAATTGCCAACAAGCCAAAGCGGAGACACCGGCGCTAAAAGAGCCATGCCTTGGGCCTGCACTAGGGAACACGCTCCTTGAAAGAGGTAGGGGTCAGTCACTACTCAGGTCACTCTCTCTTCTTCTCGAAGATTTTGGAAACTGTAAAAAATAATTATTATAAAAAGGGCCCTTCTTCACACACATGATTTTGGGCGATAAGTTCGCGTGCCACTTCCTATTACTTTTTTCTCATTTTTTGCTTCTTAGGAAACTTTGGCTTTTTTTTTTTTTCTATTTCATTTCTAATTATTTTTATACTTTTGAACCACCATATATTTTACATGTGTGACAAAAACGACAATTTCAAGTAAGGTGATAAATGGTATAATAATAAATAATATAATTAATTAAAACAGATTTGAAATGTTCAAATTTGAATTAATTAAACAGTATTATTTATATATTCTTATTTTGTTATTTTGATTTTATAATTTAAAATATAATACAATGATATAATATAAATATAATATAAAAATAAAATAAAAAATGATTCGATTTAAATTATAATAATAATTATATATATAAATTTAATAAAATAAAAACATAATATGATACATAAATTTAAATATTTTATATAATATAAATACATAAATTATCAAATTTAGGTATAAAAAAATGAAAAAATAGATTTCTTAGGTTGATGATATTGAAAGCCATTGATTAAAGGGGTGGGACAAAGTGACACCCATGTTTCTGCTCAAACAGAGATTCCTTAAAGTTATATGGTCCATGTAGGCTTTTATTCTTTTATCAGGAAAAGCAAACATACTTTCTTAAAATCTATCCAATGAAGAAGGTAGTTGACTGACTTTTCATTTTTCAAGTTTCCTCTGTTTTTTTTTTTTTTCTTCTTCTCTTTTTTATTTTATGAATGGAGAGATTAGCATAGATTTCTCTGGCTTAATGTACCCATTCGGAAGAAAAAGAATAAAAAGGAACTTTCTTTTGGGTAGCAATTTTTGATAGGACATAAACAGGAAGATCAATGGCATTGTGAGTGAACAAAACAAGTTGCTGATCTTTATCTGGCTTTCTGATAGTATGGGTCAAGAAACTGCTTTTGAGAACATTGAAGCAAGATTTGAGCTTTAGCAAATCTGGGTGAAGGGTATGTTTCAATCAAGCAAGGCAACTATGTCAAACTCGGTTGTCAGCTTGTGGAGACAAGAAAGACACCCCTCCCTCCAGGAACTCGAGTTTGCTACCCATCTCTTCCTCTCTTTTAACTTTTTTGCTACTATTTACGCTGTAGCATTCGAATAGAGATATCTCTGTCCACACCTCACATGGGATGGGAGCAGGGGTTACCTCCAAGAATCCCCCCCCCCCCCCCCCCCAAAAAAAAATATTTGCTCCGCAATAAGTGGATAGCAGAAGCCTTTTGCTTTTGTAAAGATTCCGGCACAAATGGACACAATTTCACCTTTTATGGGGACTTGAGGGGACACTTAAACTGTCCACACTCACAATACCAAAGCAAAAAAAAAAAAATATTACATGAATTTTCGATAGTTATAATAATGTCTCAGGATGTAAATTCTGCTTTGAACAGAAACAATAACAGGCGATGGAGCCATTAAGTTCTTGCAGTACAAGAAAGCTGGTCACAGTTGCGACACATGCAAAGAAATTTAAGACTGCTTAACCGTTAATGGAAATGAATTATGTCCAAGATTAATCCCTAGTAAGTAATCTTGCAAACTAAGGAAATAACCAGGCATTCGATGTGTATAATTAAGGAAAGTTTTCTATATGCCTGTATTCTTTTTTATTCAAAACATTCTTGGTTCTGCCATCAGATATGGCTTGGCAATCAGAAAAGTATATTCAAATTATATCATTAATCTATCAGATTGGACATGTGTAGCAGACGAATCAAAATCCAGATGTTGCCATGTTAATATGTGGTTACTGGCCACACTGGACAGCCGTGATGGGATAAGCATGCAGGAGTGTAAGTATTAGTCTCTCTCGAGAGAGAGATATATGCTAAAGCCTAAAGGGCATCTCAACGCACGAGGCTCCTCCATTTAAGGGTTTGAGTAGGGTCGGATACACGCACCTTATCCTTTGTTACGCAAAGAAGCTGTTTGTCACGACTTGAACCTGTGACCTCCGAGTCAAAGTGAAGCAACTTTGTTGCACCAAGGAATATAAGAGCTATACGATAAATTATTAATAGCAAGCCAAGGCTACCAAGTATCTATAGCAAGCAGTTGGGGCAAACATCTGATTGGATGAAGGTTGTATGGTGGATGGAAAACTGTGAAAACATCCACCTAAAAGATGCCAAGTTCCGAAAGAAAAAGGAAACTGAATTCTGAAATTTGGTGAAATCAAAATTTCTTTTTGAACAGTTAAATATTAATCATTCTAAGATTAGCTAGAAAAAGAAATAAATGTTCATTAAAGTCCACCAATTTCCTGTGTCGAGGACACTGAAGAGTCAAAGAGTCGCCTGTTCCTCTTGTACACCTAAATGCTTGCCTCTTTGGCAGGGAACTTTGACCATAGTAGAATTTCATGTGTGCTCTAGAGTTTTGATCTTTGAACCAAAATTTTGCGGGAGATAAGATAGCAGTAATTGGCCATATTAGATTATTTACCTCCAGGATGAGGCTCTCAAGCAGCGGCCATATGTTTATTTTCCTTTGAGTTTACAGTACGCATACAAACATGACCCCAAAAACCCAAGAGATTGGCCAACAACATTCATCTGGAAGCAAAAACAAGAAAGTGGGTGACATAACTATATCTAGCTCAATTGAGACTTTCATGTAACGGGCCCTACAAAATTTTTTTAACAATGAGTAGGAACCCATACTAACCAAATCAAATGGAAGCCCGCCAAACAGTAGCCATCCCAGTCCAATCGTAAAAAGATCCTACCACAATACAATTAAGCGTCACCAAAATTTGATATAAGCTACCTTAAAGGCAAAGAAAAAGCAAGCATCTATTTAGACCAATAAGACAATTTGCAGGCAAAGTAGAAACCGAATAAAGACCATTAAATTCACAAGAAAAACAGAATTTTTCCCATGCACATTCATAAGAGTTGAAGCTACCCTGTTTTCCCCAACAGTCTATCAATTGTGCCAAGAGCATTCAACTTAAAAATAAAACTAATAAAATACAGGCCTAGTGCCTTCAGTGCTGATATAATTTGCAATATTTCCTTTTGGCATTTACTGAAACACATTGAACCTAAAGATAAACAAGAGGCAAAAGGATGTCAACCAAAACAGCTAGTGAGTTAAATGTGCAAACTTAAAAATTCCCTTCTTCCAGACAGCTCGTGCAAGATAGAGGAATCTTATGTTATGACTGGTTGGGCTTGTTTAAAAGTTAAATCCATTTCAATGGATCAGCAGTGCAACTGACACACGCTCATCATTCATAAGCATCTAGAATGCAATATAATCTTTAAGTCCTTAAACAGCCATCAAATTTCAATCGGTTACCTTTCTAGACATTCATGAAACTGAATATAATCCCAGACAATTTATTACTGCAGCTTAAAATTAGCTTAGACAGTCAACTAAAAGTACCAGTCACAGTGGTCTAGTGATCTACAAGAAGGTTCACCCCATTTGAGCATTGAACCCCTTTCCCATAAAATTTCTTCTGACCCACCATATTAAAAAAAGAGAATCACTCTTTTCAGTCACAAAATATGGAAGCCACGGGCTGTATTATGTAAAATTAACCAGAATAAAGGACAAATGTGTTATATTAACATATTAATATGTTTTATAACAAATATGTTGTAAAAAGAATTGCACTTTCCAGTGACAAAACATCGAAACCACTGACTGCATTATGTAATATTAACGCCAAACATACAAATATGTTATATTACACCAAAGCTAGAACAAGTGATCACACCTTCAAATTGCCACATATTGTCTGTGTCAGAGCTGAATTGAGTGTTGTATTCAAGAATACATAATAATTTATCAGGAAAGCCATGATACAAGAGAGAAGCATCACAATCTGCAAAATATTCAAATGATTAAAGCGTAAAAGAGTTTGAATTCTATCAAGTTTCTCTAATCACAAGTCATGGAAGTTATTAGAATTGCTACAATCTTGATGTAAATTAAAAGAAACTATGAAATTTGCCTGAATGAGTTAACAATAGAAAGGAGTCCAAGGAAAAGCAATTTGTAGCCGGTGAAAGAAATAAAACCAAGTGTGCATGACATACACGAGATGGGTAACACCAAAACAAGAAAAAGAAACAGAAGTGACTGAACTAGCAAAACCAAACAATATGATCAAGTAACATCCAAATATGATAAAGTAGGGAAAAAATGAGGTTAAGGTTAGAAAGTTGATTGACATGAATTTTTTTTTAAAAAATTGAAATGGACATGAAAGAGTAGTAAATACCAAGCCAGCAGGACTTGAATAAGTAGCAATGACAGCAAAAAAAGAAAGGACCGGACACAAAGTAAAACAGACAATGGATAGTAACAGCATATCTTAATGACATGTTGCAGCTTTAAATAGCTAAGAATATTTACCTTTCTGCCAAGTCAATAAGTTAGACTATACCATCCAAATTAATCATATTGTAATAGTTATTACAGCTGAGAACTAAGCAGGAATATTAATAGATGCATTTGCAAATAGCTAACAATGAAAGCACTTTCTTTCTGAAGAACATATCTTGAGGAAACGGATATAGTAAGAGAAATTATTTTGTGAAAAGGAAGCACCTGGAATCCTCTAGAATATAGATAAGGGAAGTTCATCATTGCTTCAAGGTCACCTTTGTATGACGTCCAAAACAACAAGATTGGTGCACAAACTATTCCTTCAAAAATCAATAAAAATTTCATACAGAGTTCAGATAAGGCTAATTTGTTAATTTTTACATGGACCGCAAGGATAAAATAACAACTCTGTTAGTCCTTTTATCTTACCATTGCACCACATAAGGCCAAAGCTATTAAGGCCAGTGGATTTACCTGAAAAGTTGAGAATATATCATGAATAAATAGAAAGAAATTAACATGCCATGGGAGATAAAGAAGAGACTACAATGGGATAATACCAATACGAGCAATGGAAGCAAGATATATGGCTGTGCAGATGTTTGCTATAAAAACAATGGAATAGCTATAGGCATCAAATGACAAGTCACGAGCTCCAGCAACAAATGCACCAAGTATAATTATCCCCACACTGATGAAATCCTTGGATTAGTCCAAGAAAGTTATTAGTCACATTTTGAACTTTCAACATAAAGATATATAAAAGACAATATCTCAAATAGAAATTGCATGAACATGAAAGCAATAGCATTAGATTAACAAATTTTCCATTAGATTTTAACCATTAGATTAACAAATTTTTCACCCTCACCTCTTGCCATCCTTCTTACGAAGCCTAAAAGTCATAAACTTGCATGCAAATGGAAAACTAAATTCTCCCGGATAAACTCAATGAAGACAACAAATTATAACCTTTCTCCAAGGCAGTTTTACATTTTATCTAGTTTCACACATATTAACTATTTTTCAAATGTTATTTCACCTTTTGCAAGAATATAACCATAATTGCAGATAATGACGTTGCATACTATCATATGATGCGTATTCCACTATGCCCATTTTTCTAAACTTAATGCTTCCTGTCAACCATAACATTCAATAGTGAAACATTTTAGGAATGCACTGAACTTTGTAAATATAAAAGCAACGCATTCTTATTTATGATGCAAAACTCTAAGAAATCCAAGTTGTCTAAACTTAATTCTTCCTGTCAACCACAATATTCAACAGTGAAACTTTCTACGTTGGCAAGACATGGCAGTTCAAAATGGCAGGAATGCTCCAAACTTTGTAAATATAAAAGCAAGATGTTCTTATTTATGATGCAGAATTCTAAGAAATACCTTAGGGTGGATGCACTAAAGAGCCCAGATTCACTTGCCTTCAGTACAATATATGACCCAATTGTTAGATGAAAATAGTATATAAAAAGGCTCCATACCTGCCAACAACATATAATGAGTGTTTCCGTCCTGTCAAAAGATACTCCACGATCATGGTAAAAGCCACAGTAGTCCGCCTTAGGGTGGTATACATAGGAACATTTATGCCACGAACAGATTCCATGGTAATTAACTTTAACCAGACAAGCAAGTAAAAGGGAACAATCAGAAGAAAGATTAAAGTTTCACCAAGAATACTTTAAAGTGAATATTCAGCCTCTAATACATACCATGTATAGCAAATATGAAACCGCCAGCGGAAGGGCATGAAACAGTGTCTTCAACGGTACCAAGGTTACTGGGTTACTAGTAATGCTCTGTGGTTCCCCCTCTGTGAAAGAGATTATCTTCCAGCGTTTCATGGCATAGAGAAATGCACACGAACATAGAATCTAAATGCACATAAGAGTTAAATTGTTTTAATAAACTAATAAGAGAAGGCCAAACTTAGTGCATTGTGGTTCAATTGTCAAACTCCAAATGTCAGACATGGTGGTAAGAACTGAACTCTAAATAACATGAATTTGAAAGAAATTAAACCGAAAATTGTCAACTGAATTTTTAAAAAAAATGATAATGAGAAATTAATGAACAGGCAAAAGATAACAAAACACCCAAAATACATGTAAAATCCAGTTATTGCAGTCAAAAGTATGTCTAGGTTTTTTTTAGTAGAAAAAAAGGATGGTAGAGGGGGTTATACAAGTAAAGCAAGGTGATTGTAATCAACCAGTTCTTTGATCTTTACCACTGGTTTCTTCCACTTCTGTATATCTTACTCTGTTCATGAAACTTTTTGAGGTTATATTCAACTATCTAAGAAGGGAAGCTCTGCTGCTAACAATTCTTCATGCAGAAATTTGTCGTTGAAAATCTTAAAAAAATAAGATATTCTATTATGTCCTTCAGGTTTCAACTGATAAAATATGTAACTATTCTACTAAACAAACAAACTTAGGCTAGCTCAGGAATTCAACTGAGCAAGTGACCTACCTGAAAAAGTGTAATCACATTTCCATATGGAAAGCTGAAAGAAGAAAGAGCTGCTTTGTTAAACAGAACCAAGAGAACTGCAGCGAGTAAAGAAAAGCATGACAGAGGAATTAGTAGTGTTCATGGATAAAAGTTAATTAATCAAAACATGGCAAGTGAAGTGGCTGAAGGTGTTCTGATAAATAATTAGAAACAGTTTTTTTATCATTCTTGCATCAAAATTACACAATAAATAAAGCTGAAAAGCCTGTAGCTTAGAACAAGGATAAACAGATATGCAACTGGATCAGACATAGAGAGGAATGAAGAGATGATCAAATAACTTTACCTTTTCCCAGTAATATGTGATTTCCACTAATAATATTCACATAAAACAAACCAAACATGGCAAGACTTTTTCAATGCTAAGACAAAATGTCCACAAGAAAGTTTTTGTCAGGTTTTTACAACCTCAGTAACTCCCCCAATGAATTGATTCAAAGTCATTTTGTTTGTCAATTGATCTTTGAATAATAAAAAGTAACTTCTCTCATTCTTAAAAAAAGCCACGGAAACCTAACTTCTTAGTTCTTCCCTCACTGTGAATGAGCCAAGCAAACACGACAATGGATACTTTAGCACATTGTAACTGGAAATACGACAGGTTGATCGTATATGTAAAATAAAACAATTATTCTCCTCTAGAATTCCTTCCACCAAACTAGATAGTTTATTCACAAAATTTCCAGAGGAAAGCTCGCAGTTCTTCCAAACACATCAAATAGCCAGCACAACTTCATTTCATGAACATTTTATTCCATAAATTAGGAGTGAGAAAAAAATCCAAAAAACCGAAATCAGAATGTTTAGTTCGATTTGAATTTTTTTTTTTGTTTAAATTAAATTTGGATATTAAATATATATTTTATTTAAATCAAAAGGTAAAAATGAAAAAAAATCAAACCGAACCAAATTATATATTTTTATAAATTTTTATATATTATTTTAATTTTTTATAAAATAAAAATAATAATTTTATATCAAAATTTATTTAAATATATCAAAATTTTATATTAAAATAATATATAAAAACAAAAAAAATAAATTTCAAAAATCAAAACGGTAAAATTAGGATAACATCGTATGAAAAAAGGGATCAAATATTAAAAATTAATAATATTATATAATATCCGAAAAAACATATCACCTTTAACTTAAATATATTATTTAACACCGTTTAACCATAAACTAAATTTTTACATCAATTATTATTGTTGTATACACTGTTATTTTTTAGGTGAAATTTGAAAATATCACGAGCATTTGTGAATTTTGTCACGTTTCCACTTAATTCAATATGTTAAGCTCATAATTCAATGCTTTTTCTTATTTACATTCAAATGGACACTGGTAAACACTTAAAACCGCTAGTGAGATTTCAAATTCCACAGAAGAATAATAATTTCTTTGTTGCACTCCAAATCTCTGTAACCAAACAAATAAGAAGAAAAACAACAATCAAAATAAAATTTCCAAACGACAAATAAAATAGTAACGAATTCGGACGTCATGCTACTGCTTTTATTTTCAAGGCAAAAACTAAAATGAATAAATAATCAGTCCATTGAGAAAACAGAGAAAAAGAAAATGTTTGTAGGAGAAAATGCCGAGAAACAAACAGAAAAGAAATTTGTTAAAAAAAAAAAGTGAGAAAAGAGTTTTAAAATTTTGAGACCTGCACTGAACATGTAGCCAAGAGCAGCGTGCGCTCCTTTGTTGGACACGGCTGAGGCAACGGCGGTTTTGGAGGGATCGATGAGTGGCAAACCTTCCTTCTTTATGGAACCCATGACGAATTTTTGAATTCGCTTTCTTTTTGAATGAGGGAAGAAGATTCAGAGAGACAGCAAGCAATAGAGCATCAAGTAAGAAGCGTCCTTTTATTGTGGAGAGAAAGAGCGAGAGAGAGACGGAAAGGAATATGCGAGTGGGCAACCGAGAATGCGTTGGACTGGACAGGTGGCATGGACACTGCCAAAGTGAGGGTCCACACTCCACATTAAATTAGTCTCCGGTCCCACCCAAAGTACATTATTAAATTATTTGATACATAAATTAAAAAAATTAACACATATTTTAATTTTTAACATAAAAAATACGTATCGTTCAATTAATTCACTTATAAATAATTTAATAATTAAAATTTATAATAAAAGTAAAAATATAAACGAAATATTAATATTTATAAATTATTATTCAAATAAAATTTTAATTTAATTCATGATTATTATTAAGTTAAATTTAAATTTTAATAATTTAATTTATTAATTAAGTTAAATTTAAATATTTTTATATTCGATTTAAATAATTTATGAATCTAATCGATTTTTATATTTTAATATATTTTATTATTTTAATTAATGAAATCTATTAAACTTCAACATAAATAATCAAATTTTTATCAAATATAATAATTAAATTTATTTTTATATATTAATTAAATTTAATTAAATGAATTTAAGTAACTTAATTTTTATTTTGAATTGAATTTAAATTAAAAAATGATAATAAATCAAATTTTAAATTTTAAATGTTAATTTGAACTCAAACTCAAATTTAATATTATATTAATTTAAATTCGATTAATTATATTTATAAAGGAAAGCAATAATAATTAATGACTTTCTCGTTCTTTTTCTTTTTTGTCTTTTTTTTTGATTTTTTTCTTTTTTTTTTAATCTATATTACCTAAATTTAATGACTGATAAAGTATTTTAATATGGAAAGTTAAGGCTTTTGGAAATAAAAAACAAAATAGGAAAGTTATGAGTGTGCTCTGTGCTTACAGATCAACTTGCCTTTTTTGTTTTTTTCTGCCAATAACTTTCCATTTTTTTGGATATTCATTGGGCAACTAAGGGTGATTGTATTTAACTGCTTCAACTTAGGTTATATTAGTTTTTCTAAAAAATAAAAACTTTAATATCGAAAAGATAAGTAAGTGTTCAATTTTCTCTTAAAAAAATACTATTTGTTTTGTTGCTTTTATCTCTTTTGATGTGACAATAATTTATTTATTTTATGGTAATATCTTATTATAGATAATTGACTTATTGTGAATCTATAAATTTTAGTTTTAAATTTATCTAATAATTATATAATATTAAAAAAAACAAATATTTGGATAAAATTGATTGGTCAAGTAATAGTTTTTTAAATTATTATTTAATATATTTTTTAAAATTAAATGATATATAAAAATAAAAAATGTAAATGTGATCATTTTTAAAAAATGATGGTTGAATGAATTTAGAGATCAAATAATGAATACAAGAAAGATGATAAGACATTAGTATTCAAAGTATTTAGCAAAAGATATGGGAGCAAAGGTCAAGTCTTTTAATAATATTGTTTGTCATTCTTTGCTATTATCCCCATTAAACATTTACATCAATGAATTATAATGATAATGAGATAACAAATTAATTTATTTATAAATAGTTTGATTTATCATCATGTTTGAATTCAAAAAATAATCCACATCATGTTATTATAAAAATAAAATAAAAAAAATTATAACTTAAAACATCAAAGAGATTAAATATATATATATATAGATGAAAGGAAACTTTCATAGAAATTTAAACTTAAGTGTTAAGGGTTTTTTTTAGGTTCAAAAAGTATTTTTGTCATTTATTTTATTAAAGATTATTAGCAGATAATTGAGATATTTTAAATTTTTTGATCGTGACATATTTAATATCATGTCAGCTTGATTATATCATTATTATGTCTTATAAATTCTTCACCTTCTATTTATTGATAGGATATTTAAGTATTTTTATTTCATTCTTATTTCACTCATACATCATTATTTTTATTTTTTTATGATCTCTTTTGTATTGATTTATAACTTGTACGTTGAAATGCAAACATAAAAAATATTTTTTATCTTTGCTTTTAATCATTCTCTTTTTTTTTTTTTTTTATGATTTTAAGATTTTGACTCTTACTTTGAAACTCAACAATAACATTAAACTAATAAATGTGCTCTCAATCAACATTCTGTCAACAGAATGAAATTATTTAAGGCTCTTAGTCATGCCATTATCAAGATAAAAAAAATTGCCAACCAAAAGACCCAAATGGTGCAAAAATATATATTTGGTGTTTGAAAGTAAAACTTGATGGAAATTCAAATTTAAGGTAAGATTCAATCCTAAATATTATATGAACAAAATGATATCTGTATTGGAACCTGTTTAGTTAGAGGCAACTTGTTGAATTTAGACCTAGGCATACGCACAATTAAATTAAAGATAAACATTACATATCATTGTAAATAATTATGTTGCTAGTATTCTTTGGAAAAGAATGTGCACTTTCAAGATTTTTTTTTTTTGGGTGTTATTTTATATATATTTTTGGATGATTTTAAAAACACATTTCTTCGGTCGTTACTATAGAGCAATAAGGAAAACTATTATTTGCATAGTACCAATAAATTCATGTAGTTTTTCTTTTAATTACTATTCAAGACAAAACTTGAGTAAATTTTTTTTTGTAAGATTTTAATCTAGCCTTTTAACTTTTTTAACCCTATTTAATTTACTTGCTGAAAGAGGTTATCACGTATCAAAAATCAAATCACAATCCCTACAAAATTTATCACAAGCGTCATTGTCAACACACTGGATGCCATTAAGGCTCAAATTGAGAGTTATATTATTTTGCTTCCACTGCACTCTTGAGCCTAAGCTCAATTGGCATTTATGTATTGAATTCACAAAAAATAAGTTCCTACTTAATAAAGCAATTATGAATTTATAGTAATTTTTTTAGTTTTGAATCCATATTATAATTTTATTTTTTATTAATTCTTAATCGATATATTTTTACTCTCTAATTTAAAATTAGTTTCATATATGATTTAATTAAATAACTATATACGAATTAAAACAAATACTTAAAGATAGAACATAGTATGAAAAGCTTCTTTTCTTATAAAATTTATTATAGGAATGAAAAGATAGGATTCCATATAAAGCATCAATCACCTAATGATTGATTTCAACATTTTGATAGGAAAGCGGGGATATAGAGAGGAAAAACCACTTATTTGAATGCAATTCGCTCTATGAAAGTTACATAAAAGTGAATTGAGATGATAGATATAAAGATTAGCACGCGGAGAAAATTGTAATGTTACCCACTCTACTAAAATAGTTCAATGATTGGAGGGGAAGAAACCAGTTAAAGTTGTCTATTTGGCAAAGTATTCCCTTTCCTTGCTTTGGACCAACCGAGGCATTGGACTAGATTAATTTTTTAAATAAAAAATATACATTAATCATTAAATCAAATATTTAAATATTTTTTAACTCTTTAAAAAATGTGTTAATCCATAATTGCATATTATTAGCTAAAAATGAACCTAAAATTTTATCGACTAAAAAAGTACATGTTTGGCAACCTAAATAAATGATAGAAAATCCAAGGAAAAATATATTTTAACTATTTTTGTTTTTCATTAAAGTATATTTAATTAATTTTTTTAATCAAATTACTTTTGAATTAAAAATACGCTTATAATAAAAAAATAAAAATTTACGTATGTTACAAATCAGTCCTCAAACAAATATTTATGTTTTATTAAAAAAAAATAAAATATCATTAAAAATTTTATTTTTTTAAAACCAAATACAAAAATTTATATAAATTAATTAAAAAAACTCGAATGACATATTATTAAAAATGCGTTTTAATAATCTTATTGGAGATTCCAGAATCCTATTACAACTTTAGGTATCCCGAGTCAACCGCCTCAGTCAAACTATCCACAAGTAACGGAAATCTCCTTCACGCCGGTCCCACGGCCACTTCCCTCTCTACTCCTCGGCTCCGCTTAACTTTTCTTTTCTTGGCCTCCAAGGTAAAGAAGAAAAAAAAATTACTACAACAAAAAAATCAGCTGTGTCTTAAAATTCACTACTAAAAACGAAAAATAAAAGAGAAAGGGGAAAATCTCTAAACGATTCAAGACGCAGAACTTCACGATTTATCAGACGACGCCGATTACGCCTCGTCTCAGCAACAAGTACCAATCCTTTTAATCCTTTTTCTTTTTGCGCGATTCGATCTCATAATTAATTGTTATCTATATCAGATTTCTTGAATTTAATTCCGGTTTTATTGTTTTAGTTTTTTTTTTTTTGTCCTTTTCTTTTTTGGGTACAGTGATAGCGAGTATGATGCGGTGCGGCAGTGGGAAAAGAAGCTCGTCGAGTGAACCGGAGGGAGCCGAAATTGTTTATTTGAAAGATAATGTTACAATTCATCTTAATCAGTTTGCCTCTGAACGGATTAGTGGAAGATTAACGTTAATTAATCAAGGTTCTTCTCTCTTCATGGTAATTAGTTCATTCTTAAGCTATATGATGTGAATAAGTGTTGGGGCAAATATGGTTTTTGTATGTTTTATATATGTATGAATTATATGCTTGTTTGTTGTATTTGATTGTAGCCATTGATTTCGTACAAAGGATGAAGTATGAATGCAAGGTTGTCCGAGAAAGGTTTTCCTCTTTGGACTTGTGATTTGAACGCATTATGCACTTATCAAATTGGTATAAGATTATGTGATTTGCTGAAATTGTTTCATGGTTTTATTATGCAGATTGGAATCTTTATAACATTAGGGAGGTGCCATTTGCTGAAGTGAGGTCCATTGGAAGACACACTCCGGCTTGTGGGTGGCAATACATAATTGTTGTTCTTTCATCTGGTAAGGAACCTAAAAATCTATTGCTTTTGTGGCTTGTGGTATAAGAGGTTGAGCATGATGGCTTTTGATATTTTACATTCTACATATGATATTCAGTTTATATTCTTTTG